ATGCATTTTATCTCTTTATTGCATTTCACTGAATCCTTTATTATCTCTTTTCCTGGGATGGGTTGATATCTCTCTGATTAAATGGAATTAGAGAGTCCTGCCTTGTTGAGGTATGTGACAGACAGAAAGCATCCCATTCAAGATGGAGACTCTAAGTGGGATAGATTAAGTAATACTTGGCAACAATTAAACAGAAAAACCTGCCTGTAGTTTATCTGTTTGTACAACAATGCTGTATCCATTCAAAATTGCTTTAATAGTCAGTTTTTTGCAACCTCTTCATTCTTACATTTATGTAAGCTATTACAGCTTCATATATTTGATTAAAAGCAAGGCTGGGCTGGAGAGATGGCTCAGAGGTTAAGAGCACTGACTGCTCTTTCTAGAGGTCCCAAGTTCAATTCCCAGCACCCACATGGGGGCTCACAACCATCCGTTATAAGATCTGGTTCCTTCTTCTGGTATGCAGATATACATGGAAGCAGAATGTTGTATACATAATAAATAAAGTCTTTTTTTTTTTTTTTAAAAAAGCAAGGCTGCATAGGAATGTCTTGGGCAGTAGCAGTGGAAAGCTGGGTTATGTGGCCCATATGGCACCGTCAAAGCCCACCACTTCATTGCTGAGTCTATAATTACAAGCAAAATCTTTAGGAAAAAGATAAGCCTCATGTACAATATGAAATATAAAACTCTGGTGTCTCACTGGGTACCCAGAATAACTTTAAATGAACACTATCTTACAGTTTTAGGGTATTTATGGCCGTATGTGTATTTTTCATTAATTACACTCTTATTTCCTGTGGCTATACTGCCTTTTCCAAGTCTGTGTCTGTTAGTAGAGGCAGTAATGAGCAGTATGTATGCATTACTTGTTACCAGGAAGCACAATTCTCTATGGCGTTCCTTCTGCCAAATTGTATTAATCATATTCAGATTATATAAGAATATTATAAAGTTTGCCCCATTCATATCACTAAGTATTCTCAGTGTGGCATTTATGTGCCAGATCTGGATCTTAAATTTATTTTCCCTGCAATGTTTGTTCTGCATAATCATCATTTTGTTGACTTTCAATTTTGTTGAAGCACAGAAGAAATTTGAAAATCAAACATTTAACCATCTAATCCATCCACCATCTACTAATTCTTTTTCCTGAAAATTTTTTTCATTGTTTAGTTCTGTTTTCTCTGTGGCATAGTTTCAGATGTTGGATTTGGGAGATATTTGAAAGAATGTGGGGTGACCTGTGCCATGACTTGTATGATGTGGCTGCCACAGACATTAAGGTAATGGTAGTTCAGTGTGAACTAAAGAACAGCATTCCAAACATAAGTAGATGTAGTTCCGTTATAGTGTTTCATTATGTATTCACAGTGTACATCTTACTGAGTTATCATGTGTGTTTTTGGTTACCTTGTATTCTCTTTCATTCTGTCGCTATGACAAAAACCATGACCAAAAGAATCTTAGGGAAGGAGAGGATTTATTTGGCTTACAATTCCATTGTTAAGGGAAGCCGGAACAGGAACTTGAAACAGAAACCTTGGAGGAAGGTTGTTTTATGGCTCACTCTTTGCCTCATGTTTCTTTGCCTCATGTTTCCTTATAGCGGCCAGGGATATTTGCCCAGGAAAAGGCTGGACTGAAGTGGTCTGGACCTTCCTCCATCAATTAACAATCAAGACTGTCCCACAGACAAGTCTATTCTAGACAGTCCCTCAGCTAAGGCTGCCTTCTCAGGTGACTCCAGGCTGTGTCAAGTTGACAGTTGAAATTGACTTTAACTCAGACACCTCATTCGTATACATGTTTATACATACATACATATATATATATATATATATATATATACACATACATACATACACACACATACCTTTGTATGTATGTTGCCCTTTTACTTAAGTGGCTGGTCATTGGCACACATTTGAAAATAACTGCTCTTATTAATAATACTAAGGAAAGGGGTTGGAGAGATGGCTCAGAGGTTAAGAGCACTGACTGCTCTTCCAGAGGTCCTGAGTTCAATTCCCAGCAACCACATGGTGGCTCACAACCATCTGTTATGAGAACTGGTGCCCTCTTCTGACCTGCAGGCATGCATACAGGCAGAACACTGTGTACATAATAAATAAATAAGTCTTTAAAAAATAAAACTAAGGAAAAACTATTGTTCCACATTATTTTCTAGATTTCTGAGCCATTTAAATTAAAAAAAATTTTTTTTAACTTGTCAGGTATGGTAACACACACCTTTAATCCCAGCACCCAGGAGGCAGAGGCAGGTGGATTTCTGTGAGCTCAAGACCAGTCTGGTGGATACAGCAAGTTCTTGGCCAGCCAAAGCCAAATAGTGTGTCCATTCCACCATCACCCCATTTTCATTATTGGTATATGCATGTATGAAAGGGAAGTTGTGTTAACCTTTCTTGGGAAGTCACAAGTTAATGTCCAGTCACCCCAGATGGGCACCAAAGGCAGACAAAATATGGTCTCACCCAAGTTCAGCCTGACTTCCTGAACTTTTGTACAGGCACGGGCAAGGGTTTCATTACAGGCATGGGAGACACCGAGGCAGCCACCATCACCACAAGGCCTGCCCCATCATGGTTGGGGAGCCTCATGGAAGCCAATCATGGAGTCCCGTTTTAGTAACTTCTTGCTTCATTCATATATAGTTTAGCATCTCCCAAGATCGCTAGTATCCAGAGCTAGGGGAAGTAATAGTTGAAGTCCCAGCCAGGGTTTCCTGACACCTAGTTCCATTACCATGACCAAAGACTTGGCTGAATTGTTCTGCTCTAGTTGCCATGGCTACAGGACACCTTCCAAGAATGGAGTCTTGCTCTAAGTAAAGCTTCCATACAACAGATGGGGAGTGGTCTTTTGTGGAAGTTAGAAGACACTTTTCTGGAGTTCATTCTCTCCCTCAGTCAGAAGTCCTGGGGATTGAACTCAGATTCCCAGACTTTACCAGCAAGGAGCTTACCTCTGCAACTTCTTGCTTGCTTCTGATTTTAATTTTTTAATGGCTTCATTTCATATATATACTGTGCTAACATATTCATACTATAATTCTATAATATGTTATTTACTACATGTAAATATATTATTGTCTCATGTGCATGAATGTTTTGCACACATGTATATATGTATATACACCTTGTTTGTGCATGCCTGGTGCCTACAGAAGTCAGAAGAGGTATTAGAAATGAATAATGTTGGTCTTACTCTCAGAGTTGCACAAAAACATGAGAACAAAGCAAAAGTAACCTGGCCATGCAATTTTTATTTGTATAAAGGTGTGCCATCACCAAGACCAGGCTAGCAAGCATGCATGACCTAGATGGGCGATTATCTTTTTTTCTTTTTCTTTCTCTTTTTATTATTTATTATGTATACAACATTCTGCTTCCATGTATATCTGCACACCAGAAGAGGGCACCAGATCTCATAACAGATGGTTGTGAGCCATCATGTGGTTGCTGGAAAGTGAACTCAGGACCTCTGGAAGAGCAGTCGGTGCTCTTAACCTCTGAGCCATCTCTCCAGCCCGCCGATGTATCTTTTATCTCTAACACAAGAGGGCATTTGGCTAGTCCTACTGTGGAAGGTTCATCCACCATCCACTCTCAATTGGCTGATTTGGAAAGTGGAAGGAAAAGGAAAATAAGAGACCCGAGAGGCACGTTTGACGTAACAACTGCAGCTCTCTTCCTCCAGGAGTAAGATAGTTTATTCTGAAGCCCTTCTGAATGACCATGGCCTGGGAACACAGATTTAGGTTACCCTAAATTCCAGGTTCTGATGTGGAAGCAGTTACATGAAGTTTGTATAGTTTCACAGAACAAAGAAAGTCATAAATCAAGGCAAGTTTTAAAATACATTGGTGAGTACACCAGAGAGGCAGGCATGAGACGGGAGAGCTGCTCTATAGGTCTAGATGCTGTCTGATGACGTTCTTAGCTTTAGCATTGGCCACGCTAGTGGTCTGCTAAATCAATAGGTTGTAAGAGGTTTTTATTTATTATCACAAGGTTCAGATACAGAGTGGGGCAACAAATGGCTGTCCCAGAAGGCTAACAACTATCCTAGGCTAAAGTACTTATTCTCTGAACCTGCTCCAGTCTCTCTAGAGTCCCGAAATGCTAGTGAGTCCATCAGCCTCTACAGACGTGGAAGCTCCTTCCAGGAGTTTTTCATTCACACCTGGTCACAGCTTCTTTTGAGGACTTTTCTTTCACAGGGAGGAGGGGAGAGAAGGGAAGCAGGCACGTGGCCACTAACCCTGTTTCTCACAGAGGGCATTGATTCCCTTGGTTGTGAGCCACCATGGATGGGAATTGAACCTTTGTCCTCTGCAAGAGAAGCAACGACCATTTACCTTCGAGCCATCTCTCTAGTCCCAACACATTATTTTATAAGTTGAAAGTCACTGTATGAATAACCAGAGGGTTGTAAAGTCTACTTTCTATCCCCATAATAAATAAGTAATATGTACCAATTATAAACTAAAATATATAGTTTTAGCCAATTGTTTTTTCTTTTTTTGAAAAACACTTAATATATCTGTTACCTTAGAATAGTTTTTAGCAACAATGTAGTTCTTATTAGCAGTTTGAATTTGAAAGCAGGAATTTTTACATTTAATTTAATTTTTATTTGTGTGTGTACATCCCTGAGATATAAAATTTAAATAATCTTTTAAAGTTATTACTTTTAGTATGATGCTTGAATAAAACCTTCCAGACATTCACTTGGATGGTTAGAAGGATAGGTCCCCTCTGCCTTTGTGATCATTCCAGGTTTCCACTCAAGTGAAAGCCAGCTACTTTGCTGTATACAGGTGGTTTTTTTACCCTTCTCGTGTTGGGGCATTGGAAAAGAGCTGTTGTGTTAGAATGTAATGTTAGGTCAATTACATAAAAAGAATCTCAGTTAGTGTTGGGCTTACATAAAGGAAACAGGACTCACCCTGATGCTGTCTTCCTCCCTAGGTTTGCGGGTGACCGTGCTTCTGACGTCCCTTCTTGTGGTTTTGGGAACTGGTCTAAGGTGCATACCTGTATCAGACTTAACCCTTAGGAGGAGGTAAGTCCTATTTGACATTTCCACAATTCTAATTTTTTCTTACAAGTGTATTATTTATGCTCGATTGTAAGTCTCTGGTAATGTGATGAGAGGGTCATTTGTTCTTTTTACTCTGTGTAATGGAAGATGCTGGACCAGTTGTGAAAATTAAAAAATGCAACAAAACAAGTGAATTTTCTTGTTATCCAGGAGCTGTAATAACCATCAGAAAATGAAAGCATAGCATTCTACAATTAAGTATAACATTTCTCTCTCTCTCTCTCTCTCTCTCTCTCTCTCTCTCTCTCTCTCTCTCTCTCTGTGTGTGTGTGTGTGTGTGTGTGTGTGTGCATAAAATACAGACAATGGGGCTGGAGAAATGACTCAGAAGTCAAGAGCACTTGTTGCTCTTGCAGAGGATCTGGGTTCAGTTCCTAACACCCACATGGCAGCTCACAACCATCTGTATACCCCAGTTCCAGGGGATCCAAAGGTATGTATGCACATGGTGTACATATGTGCATGCAGGCAAAACATTCATACACATAAAGTAAAATAAATAAATCTTAAAATTATTTTTAAAATAGAGGTAATGGTATAGAGGAGATAATAAATTACCCTGTAGGATAAAGAGGTTTTAATTGTGCAGAGAGAACCACAGGTGCGAATGGTAGGAGAGAGAAGATCACACCTGGCAGGGAGGCCTGGATGGCTAGAACCAGGTGAGTGGCTTTGTGGGGAAGTACGGGAAGACCTAAAAAAGACCATAAGATCCAAGCAGTGATAGGTGCTACGTGAATGTGGAATTGGATTCTTTAAGGTTGTGTGAGCTCCTGTAAAGGTTCAGGGCTTTTTCTGAGCTAGGAAACCACTGGAGGTTTTAAGCTTGGTGTGTCCTGGTTACAGGCTGCTGTATTGGCACAGGGAAGCTAAAGGTCACGGGCAAAATGAGGAAACCGGCTGGGAAACAAGTCAGAGGTCCAGGGGGGATGGTGGGTGGATGTTGTGGTAGCAATGACAAGGTGACAGCATGACAAGGTGAAATTATGTTTATGTTTTGGAGAACTTGCTGCTGGAAATGCCCATGTGGGCAGGAGAGGTATACAGAATGACTTCTGGCTTTGAGGAGCTATGGGATTGTGTAGCAGGATAAATAAAAGACCCAGACACAGATATTGGGCTTTAAGCTTCAAGCTGAACATCAAAGAAGCAAAGCAGCCAAGCCAGTAGATCTTACCTCTACCCAGCTGAAATGGTAACCCTGTCCCCACAACTCCTCAGAGGCAAAAGGCTCTCAGTTTCTATCTTTTCTTCCTTATATTCCTTTCTCTGCCCAGCCATATCACTCCTGTCTCCAACTCCCTAATGCTGGAATTAAAGGCATGTGATCCCAAGTGCTGAGATCATCTTTTTGTGGCTATTTCTTTTAGGACTAGATCCATTTCAAGTAGTCAGTTTGGCCTGGAACTAACAGAGATCCATCTCCCTCTTAATCTTGAGTCCTGGAATAAAAGGTGTGTGCCACCAATACCTAGCTCTATGGCTGCTGGGATTAAAGGTGTGTATCACCATTGCCTGACCTCTATAGCTTGTAGCTGACTTTGCTTTCTGAATCCTCAAGCAAGCTTTATTAGATCATAAATACTACATCACTACAGGAATGGGATGGATGACATATATGAGAGCAAGTGTGATGACAGAGCTCTGAGGCATACCTAGAGTAGATAGATGGCTTTTGGTTCCCTTAGCAGAGATGGGGACACAGGAGGGGAGGTGGGTTTTAGTGACAAGGTGACTTTCATATAGAACAGAACTTTACAGTTTAAAAATAAATGTTCAGTTTCTGATTTTCAAAGTATATTCTCTTAAGATACAAAAGTTTGTATTGTAAAAGCCAGAGAAGACCATGTGGGCTCCCATGGAAGGCTGTCACTTCCACCCTTCCTTAGTTGGGTCTTCATTGTGTTTGACATGGTCTTAATTTTTAAAAACATTACAGGGTTATTTGTTTTGTTTTTAAGCATCCACAGTGTTGAGATACAATTTCAGTGTTGATATCATCAAGGCACTCTGAAGATGTCAAGCAGTCTTTGGCTTTTATCCTGCTCTGGATCACCTATGCTGTTTCATCCCAGCCCTCCTCATCCTTCCCAGTTACGATTCTAGAAATAAAGTTGAGTCTGCATTTTGGCCAAAAACATAGAACAAAGGATACTAGAACTCATAAAGAAATGTGACTAGCCTGGCTGGAGAGATGGCTCAGCAGTTAAGAACACTGGCTGTTCTTCCAGAGGACCTGGGTTCAATTCCCAGCACCCATGTGGTGGCTCACAACTGTCTGTAACTCCATTTCTAGAGAACCCGACACCCTCATACAGACATCCATGTAGGCAGAACACCAATGCATATTAAAAAAATTAATTCGAATAAAGACAGGGTGGACTGGATGGAGAAACAGAATTCAGAGATATCAAAACTTTCTTAAAAAGATGGTATAAATTCAATTTTCAATCTTGTGTTCATCTGTAAAGAAAGTTTTCCCCAGGAATAAAATACTGTGTGTCCGTACAGTATTTTTAAGCAGTGTTCACAGCACACAATGCAGCTTTCAAAATGAAAATACTGTAATTAGAGCCTATATTTTTATCTGATAAATGTGCTAGATTGATACTTTTCAGCATATATGACATTGTGGAAGGAATAAAGACCTAGAGTATGTGCTTAAACATCACTGAAACAAGAATTTGGCACTCTGTGTCTTGAGGGCCTGTCTCACAGGGAACTTTTTGAGTTCCGGCCCAGCCTGTTGGAACCGTGCCTTGCACCCTGACATCTTAAATCTTAACTCCTGGGACTATCAGGATTTAATGTATTTTATCTGAATGTCCTGATGAAAACTCAGGAAAAAGTATTTTGCCACTTTTTCTTGGTAGCATCATAGATCAAAAGGGAGGTTCAAGTAATGGATTATAAAGCATTTCTCCTAAGCTCTGATAGCAAATCTAACAGCAACCAAAAGATGCTATAAATGTTCTGCAGCCTTGAATGGCAGAACATTATGGTGTGAAGTACTGTGTGGCATGCTCCCTGAACGAACTAGCTGAGGGATTTCTGTCCTTAATCACAGATGTACCAGTCATCCCTTAACACGTGCTGTGCTGTGTTTGTTTCCTTTCCAGTCAGGGTCATTCTCATCAGTGTAAAGTAAATGGCATTTACTAACGTGTCAAACAGTTGGAGACTGTGGTTCTGATAAACAGGTTTTTCCAGAAATAGTCTCCATCGTGAAATGCTTTGCAGCTGGCAAAATTATCTTTAAGTGGCTGTAGTAGAAAAGGTGGTTTGCTCAACGGCTTTTAGAAGCTGAATAACTATCTAACAACAATGAGAAGAAAGCTAGACGCTTGCCTTCCCACTTTAGGAAATTCCTGTTGGATCAAAGACCTAAACATAAAAAACGAGCAGTAAAGGTGTTAGAAAATGGTTGTTTTTAAAGAAGCCAAGAGTGGGGAAGGCCTGCCAACTAAGACACAAATCTTAAAAACCACAAAAGAAATGGATTTGAGGACATAAAACTTTAGAATGTCTCGTGATGAGCCACACTGTCAAACAAAGCCAAAAAACAAGTTAAAAAGTAGGAAATACAACAAATAAGACAAATGGCAATTCCTTTAGTTGAAAGTACTTATTTCAAATCAACAAAGAAGTAGCAGCCCAATAGGAAATGGGTAGGGGACATGACAAGCAATAGTGGACATTAAAATGCAGATGACAAAACTGAGAAAGAAGTCAGCTTTCTGTCATGGTTAAATAAAGTTAAACTTTATCTGGCATTGCTGGTATTGGAGCAGCTTAGGGTGTCCCATTTTCAGGGCATTTGGGCAATATATCTGGTTTAAAATGTACACAGTCTTTACCATATGCATTTGTAGAAAATTAGCCCAAATGCAAAGCTATACCAAGTGGCAGGGCCCCCTGTGTGTGTGTGTGTGTGTGTGTGTGTGTGTGTGTGTGTGTGTGTGTGTGTGTGTGTGTGTGTGTGTGTGATAGCAGAAGGCTGGACTCACCCAGTTGCCAGCCACAAAGGACTGTGCAGTTGATTGTGGGCTTGTTTGCAGCTGTGAAAAGAGTAAGTTTTGCAGGTGCTGATGTGGCCTGTCTGTAAAATGTGCTTCTGAGCAAAGAAGTTTGGTTTAGGAAAGTCTGTTTAGTGTGCTTCTGCTTAGAAAACAGTGGCAACAGTGTATGTGACAGCTTTGACAAGGACTGTTCCTAGAAAGGCCATTGCTATCCGTTGTCTCTGGGGGAGGAGCCGAGGAACTGCAGGTCTGGAAAGAAGCAAACATTTACTTCTTGTTTTATGTTCTTTCTTACTATTGGGAATGTTCTACCACATGTGACTATGGCTTAGGTTGCTTTCTGTTGCTGTGATAAACACCATGACCAGAAGCAACTTGGGGAGAAAAGGGTTTATTTTATTTTACAGCTTGCAGTCCATCACTGAGGAAAGTCAGGACAAGAATTCAAGGTATGAACCTGGAGGCAGGAGCAAGCCTTTGTTTACTGGCTTGCTCCCATGGTTTGCACAGCCTGCTTTCTTATAACATCCAGGACCATCTGTCCAGGCATGGCACCAACTCCAGTGGGCTGGGAGCTCCCACATAAGTCATTAATCAAGAAAAGGTCCCACAGACTTGGTTGTAGGCAATCTGATGGCATTTTATCTAAAATTGAGGTTCCTCTTTCCAAATGACTCTAGCTTGTATCAAGTTGACAAAACAAAACAGAAGCAGGGGGGAAAGCATTGCCTTTTTGACTGAGTAAGTAAAACTAAAGTGTTTACTAAATGGCAAAGAAAAACAGCTCTTAAAGAGGATAAGAAAGAACTTTTTCTGGAATCAGTAAATGGCCATGGTTAGTACTATAGATTCAGGTTACACAAACTCTATGTACAGAGCAAAGAAATCATGTATCAAGACACATGTATCAAATACATCAATGGAAACATCAGGTAGGTAGTT